CTGAATACTGGGGAGACTAACTTTTCCAGAAGCACAGCACATGCCATTAGTTTCATCGACCCATTTTTTGGCTGAACACTTAGGGCAGATCTTATTCATGTCGCCGATTTGGACGGAAGACTGTTGAGCATAATCAATCTGTGGATCGTATCTAAAAGCCGATCTTTTACTGTGGGCTAAAACTTGATTGCGACTTCTCGCTCTTGACGTCTGTTGTCGTTCTCTCTGATCTTGAAGGCGTTGGAAACGCTCAGAGCTTGATTCCCTAGTGCGAGATTGAATATTTCTGATATTTTGCTCTTCAAGCCGCTGCAAACGCTGATTACTTGACTCTCGCGCATGCACATGAGAGGTTCTTAGATTTTGTTCAAGACTGGACTCTCGCGCGCGTACCTGAGAGGTTATCAAATTTTGTTGAGCTAGACGCTGTAAACGCTCAAGACTGGACTCTCGCGCGCGGACTCGAGAAGTCCTCACATTTTGTTCAGCGAGCCGTTGCGAACGCTCGGTACTCGACTTCTAGCACGCGATTGTGCCACATATTGTCTATGAATTGAAAGACGATTTTCAGTTTCTGATGAAGATTCTTCATTTCGACTTTTTTTTGATGCCCTGGCCTGGGTACTATTTCTAGAAAGTTGAGATCTTGTTCTTTTTGGCATTTCAAAATGACAAAAAAAGAAACGCCTTTTTACTAAATTATCATAACTGTAAGCTATATATGCTACGATTTTTTGATATTTTTTTAACACCTTGGATTACGTTATCTTAATTTTATTAAGGATGCCTATTTTTTTTTAAATTAAATATAGCCTATGTCACTCTGGAATGATGTAGCTTTCCAACAGTGAAAGAATTTTTCAAATCTGCCAAGTACTTTCGGAGCCTATTCAAATCATACAAACAAACAAACAAAAATCAAACCTTTCCTCTTTATAATATTAGTATAGACGACGCATTAATTGTTTTAATAAACAATAAAAATGGCTTTTGTTTTTCTAGTAATTCTGGTATGTTCGGGGTCTATCGGATTTTCTGGATCGCGATTTCCAAAACCGATAGAAACAACACTTTTGAAACAGTTAATGCCGGGGACCACTCCGTATATTCTAGAGGAAGTCAATTATAAAACAAAACTTGTTAAAATTTCCCACCTCATCAGGCGTATTTCTTATAAATATTTCCACTTTACGCCGGAATAAACAAAATATTGGAGTAATACTTTACAAAAAGTTAAGGCAGGGAAAAACTTGATACTAAATACACCCTGGCGTATGTCTGCATGCAGCTGCAGCTATATTACAGTGATAAATTATAGTCCTGGATAGAGTTCATTCTAGAACAGAATCAGATGGAATGTTCTGCCCTCATAACGAACAAAAACTAAATCTAGAAACAAAAAAACTTGCATTTGGCTTCAGTCGCAACTCTACCCTCAAGACATAAGATGAAATTTTGTGGATTAATGCGTCGGGCTCTTGTGTTTTCTTAATTTTTCTTTTGTTGGTCTCCAGCGGATTATTTTGGTCGCAATTGCACAAAATCGATATACATAAGTGACAGCTTAGAAACAACACTCTTGAAACAGTTAATGCCGGGAACCACTCTGTATAGTTAGCTGTAGCTATATTACAGTGATAAATTAGAGTTCTGAATAGAGCTCATTCTAGAACAGAATCAGATGGAATGTTCTGCCCTCATAACGAACAAAGACGAAAACTTAATAAAATCAAACTTGCATTAGGCTTCAAGAATGCGTCGGACTTTTATGTTTGCTGCATTTCCGCTGTTCCGCTGGGGTCCTGCGGATTTTCCGCATAAATAATTGACTTTTTAGAAAAAACATTTTTGAAACAGTTAATGCCGGGGATCACTCCGTATATTCTAAAGGAAGTTAATTATAAAACAAAATCAGTTCAAATGTCCCGCCCCATCTGGCATATCTCTCATAAATATTTCCTCTTTACTCCGGAATAAAGAAAATATTGGACTAATTCTTTAGAAAAAAGTTAAGGCAGGGAAAAACTTGATACTAAATAGACCCTGGCGTATGTCTGCATGCAGCTGCAGCTATATTACAGTGATAAATTATAGTCTTGGATAGAGTTCATTCTTGAACAGAATCAGATGGAATGTTCTGCCCTCATAACGAACAAAAAACTTGCATTTGGCTTCAGTCGCAACTCTACCCTCAAGACATAAGATGCAATTTTGTGGAGGAATGCGTCGGGCTCTTGTGTTTCCTTAATTTTTCTTTTGTTGGTCCCAGCGGATTATTTTGGTTACTTGGATTGCCCAAAATCAATTTAAGTATTGATAATTCACACTTCTGAAGCAACACTTTTGAAACAGTTAAGGCCGGTGACCACTCAGTATTCCTAGCTGCAGCTATGTTGCAGTGGTAAATCAATGTTCTAGAGGGAGTGTATTCCAGAACAGAATCAAATGGAATATTCCGCCCTCAACAATAAAATAAAGTTACGGCGAGATTAGTTTCAGCACATCTATATAATTTAATATCCGACATATATATTTCCTGGTAAGATTTTTGATACATTTCGTGAAGCAAATACAGCTTTTTTGATATGACTAGGATTTGTCCCGGCAAAACCCAATCATCCTTTTGCAATAATATCGACTCTCTGGAAGGTGCCGCGGAGCATGTTAACAAACAAGCTTCTCCTGGAACGCTCCGGGCTTTTGGGTCCAGCGGAAACAATACTTTTGAAACAGTTAAGGCCGGTGACCACTCCGTATCCCTAGCTGCAGCTATATTACAGTGATAAATTAGAGTTCTGAATAGAGTTTCTTCTAGAACATAATCAGATGGAATGTTCTGCCCTCATAGCAAACAAAGACGAAAACTTAATAAAATCAAACTTTCATTAGGCTTAAAGAATGCGTCGGACATTTTCCGCATAATTGACTTTTTAGAAAAAGCACTTTTGAAACAGTTAATGCCGGGGACCACTCCGTACATTCTACAGGAAGTTAATTATAAAACAAAACTTGTTAAAGTGTCCCGCCTCATCAGGCGTATCTCTTATAAATATTTCCACTTTACGCCGGAATAAACAAAATATTGAAGAGATACTTTAGAAGTTAAGGCAGGGAAACACTTGGTGCTAAATACACCCTGGCGTATGTCTGTATCCAGCTGCAGCTATATTACAGTGATAAATTAGAGAATGGAATGTTCTGCCCTCATAACGAACAAAAACAAAAACTAGTAAAAATCAAACTTGCATTAGGCTTAAAGAATACGTTGGACTTTTATGTGTTCTGCATCTCCGCTATGTTTAGGAGTCCAGCGGATTTTGGGCATGCATAATTGAATTTTACGAAACAACACTTTTGAAACAGTTAAGGCTGGTGACCACTCCGTACATTAAGCTGCAGCTATATTACGGTGATAAACTATAGTTCTAGATGAAGATCATTCTAGAACAGAATCAGATGGAATGTTCCGCCCTCATAGCGAACAAAGACTAGTAAGAATCAAACTTGCATTTGGCTTCAGTCGCGACTCTAGACTTTAGACATAAGATCCATGTTTCTTCCGGAGCGCGACGGGTTTTTGTGTCTCCTTCACTTGCCATTCTCTTGGGGTCCACATTATCCGCCATCGCCCAAAACCGATATACATAATTGACACTTTTGAAACAGCGGGTGACCACTCTCTATCCTTAGCTACAGCTATGTTACAGTGGCAAATTATAGTTACATATATAATTTTGTTGTAATTATATATTATAGAATCAAATGGAATATTCCGCCGTCATAAAGAACGCGAGGAGGACGCTGGGTAGGTATTCGCAAATTGCGGACATAATCATTCAAGAACTCAGCTCCGCAGTTAGGAAATGTATCAAGTTTAATTTATTTGAAAAACATTGAACTGAACTATTAAAAGACCCTTTAAATACGTACAAATTCCTCTTTGGTATAATTAAATGACAAATTTTTCACTACATATGACAATGAGAATACCAGAATGGACATTCTTGAAAATGCGGTCTAAGAAACGGAAAACAATGACGACAAAAATAACTATTATTAAAAAACAACTACGATTAATTCCGAGGACGACTCTCTTATCGAGAGAGGCGTCATTTGGTTCGCTTTTTTTGTTCCGGGGATCAGACTGCGGGGCCGAACACCAAATATTTTGGGACACGAAATGATAAAGCCCGAAAAGGCGACAAATATTTATTTACATATATCTAAAATTGAACGCCGAACTAAAATAATAATAGTAATGCAGCAAATAAAGATTTTCGGATATGACTAGGATATTTTCCGTCAAATACCAAAGTTGATTTGCCCCCGGTAGGCACCGAGGAGAATGTTCGCAAAAATTATTCCTTTATTAGAGTCTCGGGATATAATTCGTCGATTTCTATTAGGAAGGCAGTCTGTATGAAGAGAAAAGTAGTAGATAGATAAAAAGCAAAAATCAAACTTGCATTTGAATTCATACTCAGTTCACGACACTAGGCATAACCCATATGCTTTTGTGTTTCTTGTAATTCTGGTATCTTAGGTGTCGCGATTTCCTAAACCGACTGAAACCACACTTTTGAAACAGTTAAAGCTGGTGACCACTCCGTATAGAAAAAGTTCATTCTAGAACAGAATCAGATGGAATGTTCCGCCGTCATAACGAAAAATGACAAAACTAGTAAACATCAAACTTGCATTTGGCTTAAAGAATGCGTCTGACTTTTATATTTCCTGCATTTCTTCAGCGGATTTTCCGTATACATAGTTGACCGCTTAGAATCCACACTTTTGAAACAGTTAATGCCGGGAACGAGCCGTATGGAAGGCCGCAATAGTGAAAAAGTCGGTGGCTGTGTAAAAAGGCCATATTCACGTTATAATTATTCCCATTTTAAAATCCCGCCTAAAGCACACAGATATAATCGATACATCGGTATCTCCGATAACTGAACTAGTTCTGGTGTTTACCAACACTGTTACTAACTTGCTGTCAAGAACACGTTCAGTCAAATGATGAAAAAAAAGTAGTCTTTAGTCAAGTATACCATTTTCAGCTGCATTGTCAGCTGTCAGTTTCAAGTGCCGACATACCTGGACACTATTTAAGCACCATACACGACAAATACCTGATTTCCTTGCTCATAAACAGTATTCTTAGCGGCATTCCGTCATACATCATTCCCCTGGCAGCTCGGCCTGCGCAGTCTGAACGTGTATGCGCCATTTTGTTGTTCAACAAAGAAAGAGGAAAACGTGAAATTGGCAGAAGCATACAAGCATAGCAGCCACAAATCCGATAAAAGGTAATGCAAATCATGCAGGTAAACAGCCCCCGCCCGACTACCTGAGCAGATGGCAGTGCATTGCATCGCATTGCTTCGGTTATTTCGCAATCACAATATCGAAAATACCAGAGCAGAGAGCTAGCAAAGTGTGCGTTTAATTGATTATTCAATAAAACGAAACTACGCCACACATACAATACATATACAGTCAAACAACATTCTGCTCATGTGGTCGTGTGCGTCACCAGTTGGTAAAAACAAAAACAAAGCCGTAAAATCGAGTAAAGAAATTTATTTTGAAAAACAATTCGTCAGCAAAAAGTTACAGAATTTCGAGAAACAGCTGGAGCATTCCCGGTGTATCTAACGGGTAAAAATTTTACTTCCAGCGGGGCAGATAGAAGCTACCTTTGTGAAATTCGCAGTATTTCTTTTAATATTTATCAATCTTCTTTCGTAGCATCTAAAGAAATGGAGGCGACACTCAGCTCGGGCGGGTCCAATGCTTCGAGCGAGTGCGCCATGGACGGGGGAACGAATCGCTGTCGAGGCCTAGACAACGGCAACGGCACTTGCACCCTCAGCCAGGAGGTGAAGGATCTGTATAGGTAAGATGCTGCCCCGGTACATAATAACTAACGCTAATGGCAAACCCCTGCGATTGTTCCGATAGATCCCTCTACACGGCCTCCAAGCAGCTGGACGACGCCAAGAAGAATGTCCAGACCGTGGGCCAGCTGTTTCAGCATGAGATCGAGGAAAAGCGCTCGCTTCTGGTGCAGCTGTGCAAGCAGATCATCTTCAAAGATTACCAGTCGGTGGGCAAAAAGGTGCGAGAGGTAATGTGGCGACGCGGTTACTACGAGTTCATTGCCTTTGTGAAGAAGAGCTGGCACAAGCAGGGACTGGACGCGGCCACCGCCCAGGAGAACATGCAAAAGTTGGAGCGATTCCTTTGCGCGGGCATTTTCAACTACAAGCGTCTGTCCTCCCGCATGGAGGAGATCTATGACCTGGACCTCAAATACCTTATTGATTTCTCCATCATCAGTGACGGCTACATAAGTGACATGATCGGCGACTCCAATGAAGTCTCACATGCTGGCACTCAGGCGGTGGACAAGAGCCTGGAGGCGGTGTCCTTTGCCCTGGATACCATTCACTCATCGCTACTCAGCCTTGGGGATCTACATCGCTACTTCCTCGACTTTCGCATCGAGAGCAAGCTGAGCATCAGCAAGGAGCAGGTGGCAAAGTACTATTTAGAGGCATTCAAGCTTAACCCGGCCATCGGAATGGCCCAGAACCAACTGGGAACACTGTACTATGGGCAGAATTATGACCTAGACTCTACCTACCACTATCTCTACTCTCTTGTGTGCATCAAACCTTTCGAATTGAGCGAAAATAACCTGAACAAGTTGTTTGCCAAACACACCGAATATCTAGAGAAGATAGATCCGGAGAAGCTTGAATTCAGTATCGAGGACTTCTTCGCGCGCTTCTATCTCATTGTGGACATCTTCTTCTTCGACAAGGAGGTGCCGGACTTCACCGCCCTTTGCCACTGCGTCCTCATTGACCTCCGCAAGATCCTCTGCTCCCAGCATCTACACGTCACTGAGCCAAGCATCTTCAAGATAGTTTCTATTCTGTTCTTCTGCCTTTCCAAGCTCAAAATGATCAACTCGCCGAAAGTGTTCTCGCTGCATGCCTTTTTGGTGGCTGCCTGCTCCGACCTAATGGACGCCTGCATCGTCAGCATCGAACAGACGATCCTGGCTCGCGCCGCCGACAACGAGCGCTTCCAAGCTGTGTACGAACAGCGCTTCCAGGAGTTCGATACGGTAGTGCGCAAGTCTCGTAACGAGTACAAGAACTGGCTAGCCGCCGTCGGCGAGTGCGAACGCAAGGACAAAAAGCTTGTGCCTCCCCGACCTCACTCACTGAAGGATTTTAGCTCCGACTCGCGGGAAAGCCAGCACTCTGGGGAAGAGGCAAAGACCCAGGAGGCAGCCGACGGCGACAAGGTCGGCGAGGCAGTTTCCACGCGCTCCAGCGACGAAGCGAAGGAGTCCGACCTGAAGACCCCGCTCTCGTGCAAAAGCAAGCGCCGTGGAATGCGCCTTCGTCGGCGACGTCGTAAGATCGCTCAGTCCGACGACAGCTCGTGCTACGACAGCGAAAGTGAGTTGGACACGGACTTCTACAGCGATGAGGAGGATTACACAGATCTGAGCTCGAATTTCGACACCGATTTCAGTGACATCGATGCAGCCGATCCAGGAGATCCTCCGTGCGGAGAGGAGCCTTACGAATCAGGTAAGTCTTGCCAAGAGGCGGTTACAACATTTATATGACTGAATTCATTATACATTTTTCCATTTCAGCTTCTTATAACAAGAAGGAGCGCAAGTCTGGCGGTGGTGGCGGAGTATATTCGGATAACGAAGATGTGGTCATTGAGGAAGAAAAGCTCGTGTACCCCGATGATGTGGAGGAGCGTCGTCCCAACTCTCAGGAAGTGGACTCCGAAGAATTATTGCGTAGCTTTGAAGTGCTGCAGCTGAACTTTAAGAGCGCCGAAGAGTCCCAGACCAAGAAGTCAGAAGAGGGACAAGGCTCACAAACTGCAGCACCAGCTCCCCTCATTAGCTACTCGGAGCCGCCGAAAAAGTTGGTTTATCGCAACAAGTACACAAAAATCAATCCAAACATCATCATCGACTGTCTGCACAATGAGCCGACGATCAGAGCACTAAAAATGCTCTTCGACTGGCTCCGCATCAATCCGGAGATACTCATCGGTTGCTATCACTCGAATCCGGAGTTCGTGCACAAGATTATGAAGCTGCTGAACTACTGCAATATCGACGTCTTTACCAGGAAGGTTTACTTTGAACGCGAACTGCTGACCACTACCAACGTACGCGATTCCCTCGTCGAACTATTCGATGTGAGGGCCAATGTCCCGCTCACTGAGGACTTTGCCTTCAAGAACTTCGACATCTTCCAGAGCACCCAAATCACACTAGACTGGGAGACAATCATAAGAGAGCGTGTCACAGCCCAAGAGGAATCGATCCTCCGTATTTTCAAAATGGTCGATTTCGGATTCTTCATCTGCAAACAGAAGAAGTTCAACTACAGATTCTGTGTGAAAACGCGCCGCTTCACTGAGACCCAGAAAAAGAAGCAGCGCGAGGAGATGAAGGGCGGCGGATCGCGTCGCCGCGAGCGCCGCACTGCTCCGAAAACCAACCGAACCAAGAGGAACGAGGGACGCACTCGTCGTTACTCCGATCGCAAGAACGGCATTGTCCGCAAGAGCTACACCAGTAACGAGGAAAAGGACACCGTGGAGGAGTGCCGCAAGGTGCCGCGCAAGGGTTATTTACGAAACCGCAATGCCGAGAAGGCAGCTGCTGTCATTGCGAGTGCCACAAGTACCTCGGTGGCCGGCGGCACCTCGGCTTCTACCACTACCAACAGTGTCATCGAGAAACTGAACGTGCAATCCAGTTCGGGGGCCGACGAGGAGCGTTCGGAGGCCATGTCGAAGAAGTGCGAGCTCATGGGCAAACTCTGGCTGCAAAATGAGGTGGAGACGCTCGAGGAGGAGCTACGCGACAGTCCCGCCCACGTAGTGATGTCCCCATTTGTAGTGGTTGACTCGAAGGCACTGACCGAGTACAATGGCATTGTCAAGTCGCTGGTGAGGACGAAGAAGTGCATTGTCCTCATTCCAAATGCAGGTTAGTGCACCCACAAATGGTTCTATCGAGTTTGGTTTGAAAGAGTAGGTCGATGAAGTGGAAAGTAACATTGTTTAGTTGAGATAAAAGTTTCAGTAAATACTTGTTTGCAATATTTTTTTTTTCGTTAGAGTTTTGCGAAACATTTTCCTAGCCTTAATAATATTAACTTGTCCAGACTTTCCTCTGCCTTCATCATGCTTTATTTAAGTTTTTAATTAATGTTAGCATAATTTATGAATTACTGAATTATTAATATCCTCGTTCCTTTTAATTTCACTATCAATGCTTTGAAAACCGTATATCCCACACACGGTCACAATCGACAGTAGCGACCCTACATGTTTTTCTAAAACTCTCAGGAAAACCAAACCATGTTTAATTTCCACAACCTTTGCCCAACAGCTAAGCTAATCTAATATTTTATTTTTCGCACTTAGTGCTCAATGAGCTGGATGACTTGAAGAAGCGCAGCGAGAACGTTCGCCATGTCATCCGTTGGCTGGAGCAGGAATTCAAGCACGGCAACCGTCACTTGCGAGCTCAGCGCGATAACGAAAGCCAACCGCTGTCCCTGTTGAAGATATCTCGCAAGATGGGTGAGTTTAATAAACGTTTATCGCACTATAAAATGCCAACTAATGGTTCTTCCCGCAGATCGTGAAGCTTCTGCTTTCCTACAGATTGCCCAGTTCTGCAATCACCTGGTGGCCAACCATGCCGATCCGCAGGTCAGCGAGCTGCAAAAGAGCGTCGTCACCTACTTGTCGGGCGATAATCTGCACGAGAAGAACCGCCAGCAGCAGAACTTCAGCTACACCGGTATCCTCGACTCGATACCCGTGCGCTATGCCCAAATCCATAGCTTCTACGCCAAGTTTAAGGCCAACAAAAAATGAGGTGGCCTGAGTACAGCGGCAACGGTAGCGGGCGCTAAGGCGGCAAAGCGGCAAAGGCGACTACAGACCAGATGCAATTCAAGCAAAAAACGGGTGCAGGCGAGCGAGTTCTCTCTGTACAAGCATACATCGACATGGAGTTCCACAAAGTTAACGACAGCCGGCGAAGAGCGACGGCAAAACCAAACCAGCAATCGCTGCTGCAGCCTCGGTTGTGTGTGCAGCCGTGTTTCCCCTTAAACAAAACTGACACTTATACCATCAGTGGGTGAGCACGATCCCATTCGCCCAGCCCAGCCCAAGCAGCAGCAGCTTTGCGCGGAATTTGCTTGTTGTTGTGTTTAGGACCAAACCAAACAAAATACCAATCAAAATCGTTCACTTTCAACTCGATGGCAACAATGATGACAACCCCCAGCTAGTGTTACAAGGACAAATGGCAACGACTAAAATATAACAAAAATGAAAAAAGGAAAAAACGTAAAAAAAATAATATATGTTTCAGGGATAACCTTATTGCAGGCGAGTGCCTAAGTGGTTCACGGTCAAGATATCTTCGTGAGGAAGCCATGAGAAAGGAAAGCAAGCGGTATAGCGGATGGATAGTCTTGGATACGCTTCCGAGAGTTCGCCTTTCCTGCATCGAGCTGAATTCAGTGGTTCCCGTGACTCTTCATCTTTTCTGCAGTGTTTATGTTTCGTTCTCGGTTACGCAGACGGAGCAAAATTTATTTTTTCACTCTCAGAACTTGGTGACCGCGTGATCATCTTAATAAAAACAATACACACATACTTACATTATAATGGAGACCTAAAAATAATCTCGTTCGTCGTACCCCCAACAATACAATTTCCTCCCATTAAGAAATAACACAAATGCCGCACATATTTAAACAAACTTCTGCATCACTTTAACTTTTCCCAAAATTGTGAGCTTGTTAAATTTGTTTGAATAAATAAAACGCCCAACCACATATTCCTTGTTTCACTTGTAGAAAATAATCAGGATTTAATCCAGGATTAAGTGAAAAGTAACTTGATTCAATTGAAATAGTTTAAATATAAACTGTTTAATGTTTTGTTTCAAAATATTGACTAGAACCTTCTCTTTGAAACTGTTGTCTTTAAATCAGTGTTAAAACAAGACAAAATAAGAAAGGAAGCTATCTTCGGCACGACGAAGTTTATATAACCTTGCAGATTCGATCACTAGGAACTAATGCAATATAAATTATTTATATTTATGTTAAAAATCAATAAAGTAACGCCAGCTTTTATTTTATTCACCTATACATTAAATATGTACAGTTTTTTAATCAGATTTTATACTTACTGGTCATAGATACTTACTGATCATATGACTTACTGGTTATAGATACTTACTGTCTAGAGTTACTTACTGCTCATAGTTACTTACTTCTCATAGTTAATTACTGTTAATTACCTATTGTTCATAGTAACTTACTGTTGAAAGATACTTACTGATCTACATTCAACCGTTTCTCTAGCAGTTATATTATATAGTATTCCGATTTTAATAAAACTAAAAACGAAAATCTATAATATTAAAAGATAGCTTTGAATCCAATATTTTTATGGCTTCTCCAATCGTTGCATGGCTGAAATATAGTCTTCCGATCTGGAGTATGCGAGTGAGAGTGTATAGATGATTGGCAGCAAAGTTTCATTGTGGGACAAGTTTGCGCAGAAACAGACGAACGGACGGCCAGACGGACAGATGGATAGACGGACAGACGAACATGGCTAGATCGATTCGGCTGTTGATGGTGATCTAGAATATGTATACATTGTATGATCGGATCGGATATAACTCCTTAACTGCGATGCAAACTTCTGACTAAAATTATAATATCCTGCGAGGGTATAAAAATAAATATCTTTGCTCTCACATTTTAAGTTTGTAGCTTAGTTCAGTGATTCAGAGGGCTCAGCCACGACACAATTACAATTACAATTAATTTATAATTGTATCATGGGCTCAGCATTCCTTTTTTCAGGAGCAGAGAAAATGTAAATTCGAAAATATGTTTATCAACATCGATCTCATCAATGTTGTATTGAATTTTCAAATATTTCAAGTAGTAGTATGTACATAGATGCTCTATTAGTTAGATAACTAAAGCGTCATTACCTTTTCCGAGTTACATCAATTCATTAAAAAAACATAATTAAAATGTTTAATAGATTTTATTTGAAGGGTTTTCTTTTTGTTGATTTTTTTGTGATTTTGGGTGCTATACTTTTCCTTCCAATTAGATTGAGTTTGTCACGTTGTGTGGTTTGTAGTTCGTACTTAAATCGTACACAATATAGAGGGGTGTATACATATAATAATATTTATAGATTGCTTTAAAACTATGTTGTATATTAGGTTTGAAATACTTTCAATTTAAATTGCTGTCTACACCGATGCAATACCATCAGAAAGCAAATTTCTAATTATAGTTTATTATCCGCTCAACTAATTTATGTTTTGGGTTTTCTGCCTGTCTGTATTTTAGTTAGCAAATAATTTGTTTGTTTTTTGAGTTTGGTTCAGCATAAGCTACTTGTAGGGCGTGCTCATTAGATTTAAACGATTATCAAGCAATTTCAACTATATGTATATATAATATGGGGGCTCGTGTATATATCGTAAATAGGTTTGTTTTTGGCTTTAATCTTAGATCCATTTTGTTTATACGTATATTTTCCATCAGCTTGTGCCTATTATGGGTGTATGTATATTTTATATATTATGTTATTACTTTCTGGAGTCAAGTCTTCTTTGTTATCTGCAGAATTTAAACGATAATTACAAATAATATTTCTAATTTGTTGTTTTGCAAACGACATAAAAACCTGCACACGGATTAAAACAATAATAATATAGTAATACGTAATTCGAAATAATAAATTATACACTTGAGATTACAACAAGACTGTACAGGTTTTTCTTTTGTTTTTTGTTTTACTTAGCAACTAAACAAACTAAAAAAGAAACATAAATAAAACTTGTGAATTTTCTCATTCAACGTTTGCCAAATAATAATAAAACATTTGCACAACATTTGTAAAGTCTATACATATTAAACGCTATACAAATTTCCCGCGGTCGAATTTAAACTAATTGCATTACGTACATATAACAAAAAATCTAAATCATTTTACAATTTCCATACCGAAATTCGGGATTTTCTTATTTAAAATTGAACTATTTATATTCAGATCACACCGGACACGGATTTCTCGTAGGGCGTACCCAGCGTGTCCCGTCTCCGGGGCAGGGTGCCGCTCGCAGTCAACGGTGCTGCTTCGGGGCAGCCCAACCCCTCCAGGAGCTCTACCAAGGCAGTCGTGTCCTCGACGTTGTACTGGGGAGCCGGTATGCCACCATTGGCGGCGGGTGGTGCCGGAGCGGGAATCGTGGTGCCCGCTTGCGCAGCTGCAGCAGCCTTAATTGACTTGGCGGTGGCCAAGGATTGGGCTGCTCGGGCGTATGCCAGGCAGGTACGTCCTTCGTGATCCGTGTGCTTGATGTTGGCACCATTCTGCAAGAATGAAACCTTAGTCAGTATACCGTTGTAAGGTTTTTGGCTAGAGGACTTACCCAGATGAGTAGCTGTGCTATGGCCAGATTGCCTATGGCACAGGCCAGCAGAAGCGGAGTGCGCACATCCCGGGCACTGACATTTGCATTGGTCACCTCCGAGGGGCAATTGGCCAAAATAGAGACAATCGACTTAATGTCGGCCCTAATTACGGCCTCGATCAACTGCTGACCCGGATGCGCAGAGGGTCCGCTGCTGAGTGGGGAGAGGAACTCCTTGGCCTCGTACTTGCTGCGTATCCAACGCTCCTTGTCCTCACGACTGCTCTGTGCTGTGGGCTTAGCCCGTTGTCTCGTATTTGCCTCCCAGACGGAGTTGGCCAGACTGTTGCCGATGGCCAGCATAACGCTGAGATGTGGAGACCTGAAGTTGCAGTGAAAAAAAATGAGTTAGCAACAAGATGTCATTATTTCTTCGCTTCGCTGTACTTACGGCCAGTCATCCAAGCCCAGGGAGCGGACCTTTGAGATGTGTGAGCCGAGATTACGATGTACGCCAGAGCACTCGATGCACATGAGTACTCCTAGATTTAAGCTAGCCCATTCCGGATCTGGAAAGAAAATTTGTGATAGGTAAGTAAAGAATATTTAAGGATCCCATATATTCATTTGAATTTAACGATGTTATGCTTTACATTGTCTGTTTCATAATGTTTTCAATATAAAGGCTAAACTTACTTTGTGCTCCACAGTCGACGCAATATCCATTTCCTGGAACCCGTTGGCGAATGGCCAGCATGGCGGCCAGGTCCGTGCTAGTTGCCTGCTTGGTCTTGGTGCTCTCGATGCTCTGCAGGCTCTTGAAAATCTCCTGCTCGACGGCTGCCACCCACTCGTCGCGCTCCTCCGAGTTGGCGGCCTCAAAGTGCCACTGCTTGGAGTCCAGCGAGACGATGTAGAACTCGTAGCCATCATTGTCGTCCGCCTCAGTCGCCTTCACGCTGCTGCTCTTCATCCGACGGTGTCGCTTCTTCACGTTCGGCGTCTGGGCCTCCAATTTGTTGGTTGCCGTGGCCGTCGCTTCTCCGGCAATGAAGGTCTGCGAATTGGAGTTGGACATGGCAATGCCCTCATCTCCGCTCGTCTGCTGCGAGCTGTTCGACTTCAAGGGCTCGGCTCCACCGCCAGCAGCCCCTGGGGCGGCGCCCAGCAGCGACAGTTTCTCGCTCAGCTTGCGCTGATTGTCCTTGGCCAGTGTCAGGCAACCGATGCCGTCGCTGAGCGCATTTTGAGTCCTCTGGCCATTGGCCATTAGCGAACTGGTTAGCGCACTGTTGGTGATTATGCTCTTGGAGCCCCGCGGCTTCTGTCCGGGCACCTTCACTGTGACATACTGCAGCGGGATTTCCTTGCCGTGCACATCGTCCATGTAGTCGTGCAGTGAGGGATGGTAGGTGAGCCGGCCGTCGTCGCAGAGCGTCACATACTTCTTCTTCCACTCCTTGTTCAGCGACTTGCTCGATCGCTTGTAGAGATAGCCCTGCTTGATGGGTATGGAGCGTCCACTGCCCAGCTCGCTGCTCTTTGGCTCCTTCTCCTTGTCGGCCTTCTTCGAGGACGACGGGATGAACAGGTTGGATCGCCGTCGGCTCTTGCGGCTTGTCGTCGGGGTCGAGGTGGGCGTGGGCAGCTCCTTGCCCGGCGGTGGCGCCAGGTCGCGTGGGTCCCTCAACTGCACCTGCGAGCAGTCACCTTGGAGCAAGGAACTGGCTGCTGCAGGATTGTATTTGGTGATGTTGTTGTTCTCGTTGGTAGTGGCCGTCGTCGGCGCTGCGCTGGATTGCAGGGACCAGAGCTTTTGCTCTGCCTGGGTGAAGTCCGTGCTCATCCGCAGCGGCAGCTGCTGCTGCTGGCTGCGCTGTCCGTTGGTGGGTGTCGCCTGGTAGGGAGCCAATCCTAGGCGACTGCCCTGCGGGGTCGTGGGTCTCGGCGGCTGCATCTGGGGTGGCAAAGGCAGGCGCTGCGACAGGATCTTCTGGCAGGCTAAAGGTACGTAAGGGAAATAATTCGATTTGAGTTATGCGATCTCGTTGATTGATTCTTGAGTGAACTCACCGTCCTGAAAGACACGTTCCACATTTAGGCCATATGTGGCGCAGGTCTCGTAGTAGGAGCAACGCTTCAGATCGCTGGCCAGCTTCCTAGCTCGGGTATCATCAATCACCCGTGGATTGCGCTCACTAATGGCATCTGGAAACAACAAAAAAGGGTTTAATAGGTTCAATAACAATTATTATAATTTGAAATAATATGAGTAACATATAAAGTTAATAATTCATCGTAATGAAATCTTTCGGACGTTATTTTTAACGATTTTACTTCAAGAGCGATTTCAGTTATACCCCTCCCTGATGGATTATTCTTTGAAGATTCGTAGTTTTAAACTGAATTCCTAAGAAATTGTTTAATAAGTCCAGCCATACAAAAATGAATTCAAACCCCAATATAACTTAGTAATAATTACTTCAATTAGAATTCACTTACCTTGCGTTCCCACCAGTATCATTGGTATGTCCTGTCCATTCCGAAAATGCGCCATTTTCGTGTAGTAGTTGTAGACGGTATTGAAGCTGCTCTCGTTCTCGAGGCTGAATACAAAGATTACCGCGTCCACCCAGCCAGCGAACTGTAAGGATAAAAAACAGGGGCATAGTGTGAGTAAAATTGCGAAGAAGAAGGGGTTGTGAAAGCTGAAAGCTAAAAACAGAAAAACAAAGAGAGTCCTGCGAAAACGGCCCGTTTTGGGACGCTCAGAGTCCTTGACTTTGGACGCCTCACGGCGGATTCCGGGGAGGGAGGAAGGACTAGGACTTGGATTTAACTTCGGTGGACCGAGAAGTAAACAAAAAATGCATCAGCGTCTGGCGGAAGCGCTCAAAACAATGGACATAGCTCCTTGCCTTCCATCTGAGAGGAGTATTTCTGGAGTATGGGCTGGCGGAGGACTCGGCACACACACACTTGAGAAAGTCGCTAATGAAGCACTTGAAGCCTTCCATACTCCGCTAGCCAGGCTCGGCGTGTGTTAAACTTTTTAATGATTTTTGTATGCCTCACACACAGCACACACACAAGCACACTCGCTCAGTTCGGCAGGATAATGAACTTTAATATGGGAAGAAGTAAACAGGCCGTGTTGTTTCTGCGCAGGATTGCCATTGAAGGCGACGGAAGTCGACGGAAGTGGAGTTCGCCAGCTTATATTGATTGACTGTTCTCCAATCGAATCAATTAATAATTCATTAAAAAGGCTCTTCACCTGGACAACTCTGCGAGGTCGTTGAATTATTTATGCAACTCGCTCATGGAGTTGGGGCTGCGTTATCCTGTGACAGCGCCAGCAGTGTTCCGTCGAAAAAAAGCCGCCCGCACGCGACGCCAGTCGACAAACAACTGGCTGCCAGAATGTCCTGGCAACGAGGACACTCGTCTGCGGCGCTGTGTTGCTGTGTGCATTGTGTTGTGGTGGGTGGTTGTCTGCTCCCCGCTCCCCGCTTCCTGCTCCCAGCTCCAGCTACCCGCCATCCCGGCATCCCCTGCTGGCGTCGCCATCATAGCCACTTTTTATGATTTGTTGTGAAAATGTATGCAGAGAAAACAGAGGAAACAGGAAACAAAAACGAAGAACAGGCGAAAAAGGGGAACGAAAAAAAGTTGCACCAAATGGCGACGAAGGGCTCGAGTGTCTGAGATCTGCTTAGTTTATGCGGCGGAACTTATGAATCTCGAAATACGTTTACGTAACTAAAGCCTCAAATTAAGATTTTAAACGTTTTTTAAGATATTCATAATTTTAGTATCTCTAAGTTATTGACATTTAATGAAATGTTGTTAAACTTCAAGCATATTCTTATATTTCTTCGGAATACTTAGTATAAAGTTTGGTTACGAAATGATTTCATGTATTGAGAGCATCGCATAAACTTTGATATACCATGTGTGGAGGAGGGGTCCTGTTCCGGCGACTGCTTACTGCACATATGTATGTATGTTTATATGCTGATGACGAGTAAAAAAAAACAAGAAGTAAGCTCAGAACAATGCGGGTCACACAAATGGCAAGGGGGTTTTATTTTCTCATATTATATTTAAAAAAATAGGTAGGTAAACAACCAAGATACAAACAATCGATTTATCCTTGATTAGGCTCAATAGTCTAGACTCTTTTCTGATTTTTCAGATAAGTAAAGAAAACGCTCTCAAGTTGATTCCTTATTTTTGCTTTTTTATTTCATTAAGTTCCTAACTAAAGAAAAGTTCACTATTTTACCAACTTGGCTATAACTAGGGTATAACTTTCCCCAGATCTTCCTATCTTGCGCACCTCGAGTGTACACCACCACCACATCTCTTTACAATACGGAATCGACAACCTTCTTGTCGCATGCAATATAGCTGGGCGCTACAGTCATCGTCTCATGGCTCGTATATGGTAATGATATCCTTCGGTGGAGAAACCGAAGTAGAAAAAAACAACTACAAACGCGACAGAGTGGCGACGAGTCGCCATTGAATGAGTGATTTCATCCAGAGTCGGGCGACAGTAACTTCTGTTGTGAGAACGCTCCTGCCCTTGCGAGGGTGGTCTTCTGGGTTTCCTCACATTTCCCTTCTGGGGGGTTGCTCTTTCAGTTACAGTTACAGTTTCAGTCGGCGTAACTCTTGGCCGTTCCGAGGGTTATTTTGCTTATGAAATATGGGTGTATTATGACCCATCTAGATGGGACTGACGCAAGTTAGCCGGAGAAAGTGATATATAATTAGTCGAGTAGCTCTGGCGCAGACAGCAAACGAATTTGTGAATTGGAATGAATGGTTATTGCAACAATAGTTCGAGGGGGTTTGGGTTTGTGACAGTGGGATCGAAAAGTGCGCTCAAGTGAGAGGGTTGATTGACAGTTTGGTGAGCGAATGTAACGATTATGCAATGTGCATCAGAAGAAAGTGTCCAATGAAGTGCAAAAAATGAATTACGAAAAGTGTCAGTCTGAGTAGATCTCAAACTATAAATATGGAAATGCAAAAGTGTGAACTTATTTGAGGTCTAAGTTTTAAATTAAATGTATTTAGTTATTTGATAAAAATTTATAACGAAACTTAACAAAGGCCCTTCTATCATCCTAGCAATCTAGTACTATGTACGGATATTTTTTATTTACAACTCAACTTCTCTGATAATGTTTATAATATGCAATTAAATTTTTTAAATCCTTTGGGCTTCAAATGTTCCTAATTTTAAGAACCGAAACTCACAACTTCCGAACTGTACTTCCAAAATACTCCCTTTTAAGCCCTAATCCTTTGTTATGTGTATCCCACTGACAATTTAGGTCAATCATCTGCTTGACTTGCAAAAATGTTCCAAACTTCTAATTAAACAGAAAGGAAATTAAAAAAGCAATTTGAATAAAAATGGCAAGCGACGGGAGAGAGCAAATAGTGCGGAAGACTGTCAGTCAGTCAGCAGGGATAGAGAAAGGATTATAGGGATATTATTGGGATTTCGAGGGTCGCGTGCCTGGCACATTTTTTATAAGCAACCCCCTAAGAACCCCGCCCTCCGCGAGGCGCGTAAATAGAACCGCAAATAAAAAATGAGAGACTAGTGAAAAGCGAAAGCAGCTTAAAATTTATAATCCTCACTTTCGCCCGTTAAGCCGCAGGCGAAGGCTTCGGGCCCCAGGACTTTTGGCATACAGAGAGAGAGGAGGGGTAGCGAAATTGCAATTGCAAAAATGTAAATGCAGACCTCGAGCACACTATATATACGTACTATAATACTTCAATGTACATATATCAAAGGCGAGAGCCGAACAAAAGCTCCTTGAGCCACAAAAGCCTCCGGCGAATCAATGAGTCAAGGCCCGTTCGAATGTAAATAGCCCGTGGTTAAGTTCACTTTAATTACACTGCCCGTGTATATTGACAAAAGCCGAATTCAATTGCATTCGCAGCGGATCGGAGCTGCAGCCGGGGTTGCTGGCTGCTGATTGCTAGGTGAGCTCCAGGGGTTGGCTGGCAATCTTGGGAGGAGGCGCCATTGTGTGTGTGTTCCTTGTGCCAAATTGTGTTGCCCAGCTATTGGCTCTCGGCCAGGAGACGATGATGCAGCATCACGTCCTGCCATAATGGCCAACAAAAACACCGAAACGTGTGTGTGACCCAAGCACACGGACACGTTGAAATCGCTTATCTGCCATTGCGCCACTGTCCCAGCCAAAGGTTGAAGTTCGATGGCGAGTGACTCACGCTATGTGAGTGCTCCAAGTGTCCTCACACCCCCCACGCCAGTCTGGCCGGGTCAAGGCAAACTTTGACGCAGAGAAAGAGCGGCCAAAAAGTTGGATAATTGCTGGCGAAATAACTGTGAATATGCCTGGGGAGTAGCTTCCAAGTTTCAATCAAATTATATCGTAAATAAAAAACCGTCTGAGGGTAACAACCCCTAAAAGTTTTCCCAGTCAGTTGATCCCACGTTGACCTCAATTCAAATATTTACAAGATGATAAGGGAAAATGTATTTGTCTACGGCAGCGGGAAAGGCAAACCTTCCCGGCAATACATACATACATCATTTTCCCATTCCCATGAATATTTCATGGCAATCAGAAAGCAGAAACAAGCCCCAAGAAACAAGGACTCGACTTGACTCACCTGCATTTCGGGGGCTCCACCCTCGTCCCGGATGAGCAGCAAGTAGCTCTGGCCGTCGATGAATACCTCCTTCTTGAAGCGGCCGCCCTCGGGCGACTCCTCCTGCATGTAGGAGCCGGTTAGGTAGCGGTGCACCAGGGCCGACTTGCCCGAGTTCAGCGAGCCGACGATTCCCAGCCGGAGATCGGGAACGGAGCGCGAGATCGTCCATTCCTGGCTGTTCACAAACGAATCTGGAAGAGAGCATGGATCGGATCATTATTAGAAAAAGGAGTTTCTTTCTTAAGTAGTTTGTTTCTGTTAGCAACGGGAAAGGAAAACAAGTTCACTCTTCGCAATTAGCGATCTCGGGAACCCGTTTCCCTCTGACCTCTCTACATGTCGCGGCCAAAAGTTTCCAGCTCTCAAGAATCCATCCACCCATCATTATGCTAATGCCGGGGTATCCTTCCACACACACTCACACACACATTATCAGCCTTTCTGGTGTATTTTTAGCAGCCGCCCTTGATTGACAGCAGGAATGTTTGCCAGGAAGCTTCCTTTTCAATTTTCGGCAATTGTCTGCTGGCTTGGGTTGTTCCCCCGTGCAAAAACTTTTAAATTGTCAGTTTGCTCGAACACTTTTCTGATTTAAATTAGCTCATTGTCAAGTCGCAGTCACTCAATCAGACTTAAGATCGAGAAATCCCAGTGTCAGCTGGGCCCAAAGTTACCAAATGGTCCACGAATAGGTAGCTAATTGAAGCGCCTCTTTCACGGTACCTGATGCCACAGAAAGCCCAGCTGCTTATAGCTGAGCTTTTGAGGCTCCTCCTCGATTGGAGGATTTACGATTTACCGATGTACTTCACGCCCGAGCTGGGAGGAAACTGAAAAGCCCACAGAGGTGCCGCCATAAATCTTTTCCAAGACCGAAAAGAGTCCAAGCCCGAGCCATTAGACTTCCCAAGTGCCAGCGATCAATTTCACTTCACGAAAGGGGGATAGATACCCCTGCCCTGAGCCACCCCAGGATCCTAGGGAAGAAGGAGTGACAATGGCTGACCAGCGATGATTTACTGCACTCGGCAGAGGGCTCGCACGTGAAAATTGCTCTATTATGAGTTGTTAAGAGTTGCGTAAGTAAACACAGAGGCAGTCCCTCTCCCGGGTAGATGGACAACGACAACGACAGCGACAGCGACATGGCCATGGACATGGATATGGATCCGTCCGTCTCAAGGGGTTGTCTTACGGCGGAAACTTGTTTTCCTGCCGCTTGTTAATCGACTAAGACGATGGACAGCGGCAGACAAGACAAGTTCGACTGGTTTGCACTGTTGCCTTGCTGACCAGAGCGCAAAATTACAAATTAAAATGAAATAAATATGCCTTTTGTGTTATATAATACTGGGAATATACCGAATACCGAAATAAATCTGGGCCAGGAGCAGCAGCAGTGGCGCATTTCAATTGTTGAACTCAATTGAAAGCGATATGCACACGCCGGCCCGAGAGAAAAATTAGCGCGGTTTTGCAATTTGCATGCCCCTAAGGTAAATGTGGAATGGTTTTCGGATCAAAGATGGCGATGGGAGTAGAAGACGCGGCAGACTGGTTCCCGCTTCTTTTGGTTCTCAGTTGCTCGAATTGTAACAAATTGCAGGCGGCCAGAGACGAGCCCGCCTAATTAATGGCTCGTCATTAGCCTAAAGCGCTTAAAGTTACAAGCCAGTTACAAATGCGTCTTTAAGTTTGACTAATGATGTCAAATGTCTGACACAGGCTGGGATGGGATCGGATGGGATGGCATGAGATGGGGTTAAGCATCGCTCCGAGGCATCGGAATCGGAATCGGAATCGAGATCGGGATAGGGTTAGGGATCCGGAGCGGGATGGCGATCGGCTTATGTGTGAAGTTCAAACCGCCAGCCAGGCCGGGGCAACCCTTTGGCTGCGCTGCGGCTATCCCTCCTGGTTGCACATCTCTTTATCTCTCCGGGATCGTTACTCAAACTCATGTCAAATGTCGCCATCGTTGTCAAAATTCCCAACATAATTACGTATGCAAACTAGCTGCAGACCGAAAGAGGTTCGATTTCCGAATCCAGCATTTCCATTTCCATTACCATTTCTTGTTCTTGTTCTTGGGAGAAAGTGTCCGAGAAAAAGGGGTTTGTCTTGGTTGGGATTTGTTTTCATTTCCCTTTATGCTTCCTAGTTTTGTTTGTTTGTGTTTATATACTTTTGCCATTGAGGCGATAAGATGAAGGGAGCCACCCCAACCCGTGCTTGGGATTTACGGCTCTTGATGTGGGTTAAGCATTTTAATTAGCGAACAATACGGAAGTTTTCGTATCCCTTTCCGGCAACTCTTTCTCTCGCTCTGTGGAAACATGTTTCCCGAACGACAAACAGCCAGGTGACCGACCTTATGACCCGAAACTTGAAGATATAGATGGCTTAGTTTTATGACTGACAGCTGCTGTAACCGAACTGGACGAAACCAAACCAGGCTCAGTTTTTTATCACCGAAGAAGCGTGCCGTGCATCCAAGAAAAACATGTACATTAATTTTATTTGAGCAGGAGGCGCCAAGGATTGTCCGAGGAATAGTCGTAAAATGTTTATAAGCGTTTAGTTGTTTACGGTAGCCACAAACGCGGAGCATTTCGAACTGTCATCGCATAATTTTACGATTGTCCTTTCCACAAACACAGCTGAAACACAACAAGGTCATAAAACCGGAAGGGAATTGATAAAAACATCAAATGCGAACAAAGTATTCATTGGATATGAGCCAACCTTAAAGTATGAATAAAAGCTGAGCTGGATTACAAATTCCTACTTATTAGATCCCACAAGCGGCAATCCATAGATCATCATGATCCCCTTGAAATGATCTATGGATGTTTTGATACCTCCATGCATGCCCATAAATGGTCAAATAATGTGATTTTAATAAGCCATAACCATAATAAAGGAATATTTCATGCGTATTTTATATTATATTGAATAGCCCCAGCCAGATCTCTGGGATAAATCATATGAATGCGAGTGGGATATTTGCATGGGGCCTATGAAAATATTTAGGTAGGCTGGTCGTGTCGACAGTGTGTTGTCCAGTCTCGAAGATCTCGAAGGTGAGCAGCAGGCCATAAATCTCTGGACCTCGTCTGTCCCAAATCCAACTGCCAAGGGAAGACCCTTGCGATCTTGGCACTGGAAGGCGAATGGAACGCGTACCTTTCACGAATCAAATGCCCGTTTCCTTGTGCACATTTTGTGCACATCTGCTCCAAAATCTGATTTACTTTCTTTTTGTGTTTGCCCAGAGATCGGTGAAAGAAGATCACGGCGAATGGTGGCGAAGGTGAACTATTCCCATCCTCTCTCTCTCTCACTCTGGGTGCAACAAAAGGCAAAGAAAATTAGCAAGGCCCACAAATGATTCGGGCCAAAAAGGGCGATCGCACAAACAAGATTACAAGAGGAGCAGGCGAAGGCGACGGCAAAGTCGAAGGAGGATGTTGCAGACAGGAAAAGGTAAGGGAAATAATGAATAAATACAGGGAAAGATGATCGAGTAGACTGCTCTTAAAAGTAACATTTTACTGGATGCAATTCCAGCTGTATTTGCTAGGTTTTAACTGGTTTCAAGTGTATAGTTCAAAGATATCATAACTACAAACACTGTAAACCTGAGATGCCTGCCACTTTTCGGCACCACTCCCCAATTCTGTTTTGAAATACTTAGAATCCTACACGGTAGCAGTTACGTATTGCGATTAATTACAAGTCAAAACAAACAAAACAATAACTTGTACGTCGGCGGGGGCTCCGGCACCGACCATTCTGTCCAACTGTTGTTTTTTCGAGAGGAGAGGAACAGTTCTGCACGAATGATTGCGACACTTCAAGGTTCGCCCCCGGGGCATCATCATCACCATCAGCGTCACGCAACGTGAGAGGGATGCATGGATGTCATGGGGATTGGGATTGGGTTTGGGTTTGGGATGGGTGTGTACCTGAAACGGTATCCGCCAGTTACATATGACTCGTGTCACGTGCAGGCAGCACATATTCCGCATGGAAATGTAGATTCAAGAACATGACTTCATCGCCCAGAAATCCAGCGAAAAACAATCATAATTGACACAGAAATTCACGCATCATTAGCCAATGTGCGAACATCCAAGCAAACAAATAAACAGATGGCGACGAGCAAGTAATTGGAAAGATCTCTCAAAAGATCACTTGGAGTGGAGCATGTGTTGGATGGATTTTGATAAATTTAATTGAGGAGAAGCTCAGTTCAGACTGTATCTACAATCGAAGGTCACAGATGAGGCGCAAACCCCTCAAAAGACCACGCCCCGAGCCTTTCAAAAGGGTTAAAAGGGTTCTTCGATCCCTTAAGGAGGCTCTTCTCGGGATGCTGCCATTGGCTCAGAGATTTATTTGTGTCCTCAGGTAATAAAGCATCTTCTCAAGCAGCTCCTCAATGTCATACTCCATTTTGCCATTTCTCAGCAAAACTCGTTCTCATTTGCACCCAGAAAAAACATTGTATATATATCTCTGTTTATATAGGTTTCTTTGTTGACTCTTTGTTGTTCCTGGGCTTTTTTATTTTTGGTTCGTTTATCAGTTTTTGGGGCCGAACTGAATTTGTTTCTGTGTTGAAACTCATTTATCATGCGCCTCAAAAGTAATTGCAAAACACGAGGCGGTAAAATAATAAAAAGGTAACAGAGACCTTATATAGAGAAATCACCGGGCTACGATTTCTTATCATTCAGCAGTTAAAGACCCTCCACTCAATGGAGGAAGTGCGACGTAAAAGAGAGTCTTTCTTATCATTACCAAATTATTTCTTAAATCAATTTCATACTATAAAGATTCAGTCTTCAAAGCTATTAGAAATTTATGCTCTAGGGTACACAAAACTGGGTTCTTAATAGAAAATGCTTAGTTATCTACAAAAATAACTCAATTTTGTTATCAGAAACAATCTAATCTTTGGCATAAACTAAACTTCTTCGTTTGAATTTCAGATGACTTCACTGATGATATTTTAACCTTACTCAATAAATTTTTAAAAGAAAATTGAGTCATGATCACTGATTCTTCCAAATGAAAAATGTAAATTTTCCCTTAAGCAACCCAAAGCAATTAAATGTCAAATTTATGACATGATTGCGATCCCAATATCATCTTACAAAGATCCCGGGAAAAATTCGAATCATTT